TTGTAACAATTCTGTAAACCGGAAGGGGACAGTAAAGCCTCTACCCAGTTCAGCAGCTCTTTTCGGTCTTCAATTTGAAACAGGAAAAGCTTTGAGGATGGTGGTAAGCAAGTTTTCATGGAAAACATTGGGGCAGAGAGACTTTCCGTGTTAGATTCCCATCCTCTTAGTCCTCCTGTAGAAAGTCTTGGGAATTCACTCATGTCATCTCTCCCTCTCGATTCTACACCCTTTACTTTGCACTACCACGAATTGGACTTCAGGGTTGAGAATAAGCTGTGAAAGCAATGACCTCTTCAGAATGAAAGCCATGTGCCCATTTGTCCTTCTCAATAGTGAGTGGGAGATATGCAGAAATGAAACAGAAGTGGAATAGTTGCTGGGTGCTTTTCTCTCCATTCTTCCACTGGGATTTCTTCCCCAGAGTTGCCTGTGAGGTCTAGGCAGATGCTGAAATGTTCATACACCCGGTTGGTGCAAAAACAGCAGCGCCAGTTCTTCCTTGTTCTTAGCTACGTTACATCTCATTTCTTGTTAGAGGTTTTTCCTTTCTCTTGGCATTTTGCCGTTAGTGGCCTTGGAGTCCAGGTGATGATATCAACATCCAGGTCCTTACTACATGCAAATGGCCGTGGTGGTGTGAAAGTGGTAAATCAAGCTTGGTAGGTTCTCCTGAATGTTTCAAAGTTTGGGTTGCGTTCCTTGCTCCAAGCAGTGGTGCGAGGGCTTCAAAAGAGTTGAAGAGTCAGACTGGTCCAAGGACAGCGGTGGGTTTCACTTGGGGTTGTGATGGGACAAAAGCATCAGCACCCCTTACTGAGCAGTCTGCCCAGCCTGATCTCCTGAATGCCCTGGGGACAGCAACTCTAGGATAGGGGTGGGAAGAATCTGGATAATGTAAAAGCGGGAGAAAAGACAGTTGCCTCATTTGTTCTCCCTAGGATGCTGGGTTTTTTTCCTGGTCTCCTTCTCCAGACTCACCCCTGCCCTGCTTTTCATGCGTTTCCTGATCTGTTGGTTCTGCAGTCTCTGTAGCAATTCCTGCAATGAAAGATCACAAGGTATGGAGGGGCTGCCCCCCTGAGTCCCCGTTCCAACACCAGGGACTTAGCTGAGACCTCAGCAGTGTGTGGAGAGGGGGCATCCCTCTGCCAGCTGCTCCTGTAGGATTGCCCACATGAACGCCCACTGAGCTCCGTGTTTGGAGAGATGCAGGGATTGCTTGAACAAAATCACTCCAGAGGGGTGGGATCCTGAGGAGGGGCACAAAGCTCTTCCTCTTTTGAAACCTGGTGACATCTGGGCTCATTCCTCTCTGCTCAGGGTAGAACAAATCCACTTTTGGCTGTTTTCCTTGCTCCCTTTATTGCGTTTCTGCAGAGGCTCCTGGTGCCCTGTTCTCTGCGGCTGCAGTTTAATTACAGGTGCGCACCCGCAGCTTTAACTTTGGCCTTTTCTTCCTACCTCTGTGTGTGTCTGCAGGGGGAGGTTTCTCAGCTGACACCAGGCAATTACTGGCTTCTCTGACTTTCTCCTTTCCCTCCCTGTTGCCCAAACTCACCTTTGTCTCCACCCTGCTAATGAGGTGATTAGAGAGATTCTGGAGTGACCTTGATCTTACCCCACGCTTGGGTCACCTGGCAACTCTAAAAGCGTCTTCTCTCAGGCATCTAACAAAAAAGAGCAGGGATCGGGGCACTCTCCCAGGATGTGCCCCACAGCAGTGCTAGGACTCTTCAAGGATTTTGGCCCTGACACTGGAAATCGGTGAGGAACTGCACCCTCCAAGCAGATGGGGGAAGATGAAAGTGAAAACTGTCCAGTTCGTCTCTCTCTTCTAATGTCACTTCACATCCCCTTCTTGGCTGGAGATAGCCCAGAGATCAGATTAAAATAGGAGTCCAGGAGTTGTCAGACTGGGCAGATGCCTCGGAAGAAGGTATAAGGAAACTTGTAATGCCCAGCTATGGGGTAACTTGGATTTACAGGTTGTAAGGGTGATCTTGTGTTCAGTATATGAGGCTTTGTCTCCCTCTCACAGTTTACCTTGTCTAGTGTGTGTTTTATTATCCATTCATCTATCACATGTTTCTATGAGCCCTGCTGAAATCTTGACGTTCCAGAGAGTCTGGATGGGTCCAATCCATGTGTTGTGAAATCATCCTCATACTCTCACCCCCAGGTTATATGTAGCATCCTACCTTGATTGCTAATGGTTGCTTCTGGCAAGGATATTTTGGAAGGAGGGATCAAGCCAGCTCAGGATTTCTTTCCTGTCTTGAGTGTGATGTGCACTCGATGGGGCTCAACAGCCTATAATATATCGACACTAGATTGTAGATACCTGGACAATCTGTGCCTTTATCCCAACTGTGGGGAACAGATTCTCTCCTGTGTACAAGCCTCTTGGAAGCCTTTCTCCTCACCACAGTATCGGGTGTCCCAGTCCCCTTCACTGAGCTTCCCCAATACCCCTGAGTAAGAGAAGTATTGTCAGCCCTGTTTTTTCCAGGGGGAAAATGAGGCAAGAGGGATTAAGTGAATTGCCCAAGGATGTACAAAGGAGTCTATAGCAGATCCCAAGGACTGATGACAGATCGCCTATGCCCCCAGCCTAGCATCACAACCACAAGGCCTCCTACCTTGTCGCCGTCTCGACTGTGCTGCCATTGTGGGTAGAGCCCTTGGGATCTCCTTTCGCTCGCATGTCAGCAGAGGGTCTGGATTTGGACTGGGGCACCTGAAGTCAAGACCTGGCCCAGCCCTCGACCTCCTGCAGATCACCAGTCTTGCTGGTGGCTCTTGCACCTTGAGTTTGAGTAGGGCCCTGACTAGCAGCAGCCCTGTAGCACTGTATTTTTCTTCTTTTAATGATTAGTGTCAGATCCACAGTCCAGCTCCATTGATTTCTGTGGCACCGGTAACAAGGAGCAACCTCCTCTCCCCAGCATCCCCGCCTCCTGGCCTGCAGCTGATCATGGTAGCAGGGGGTATTGATTTACTAATTGAGTGATGATTTCACCTGATTGCTAATAAAGTGTTGTACAACCTTCCCCGCTGAGCTGAAACTCAGCCTGACAGCTACTGGTGGATTACTTGCCCTTAGCAGCAAATAGTTCTCTGTTGTTAAGTAAACTGATCTGTTGCCCGGTAACCCTAAGATGACTGTAGTGAATGCTTGGAGATGTAATGAAAGCATCGGTCAGAAACTTCATCGAGTCACGGAGGAGACTTTGTGAAGAAGGGAAAAGACCGGGCCTATGCTACAGAGCTTTGCCAGCGAAGCAGTGTTGGCCAGGAATAAGGAAGAAACAATACAGCACTGAGCACCAGCACTGTGCCAGCAAACCCCTGTGTGCAGATGTAGGCTAAACCCCTGCAAAAACGCATCCTGGTGGCTGCGTGGCAAAAGGGAGGTGGTTTAATGAGACCTGCAGACTTGCTTGGCCTGGTCTAAGGTGCGTCTCCACTAGAGGGCTTTGCTGGTCTAGCATTAATGGCAAAGTCTTTGCTGCTCAGGCTGGCCATACAACACCTGGGGTGGATCGGTCTCTCTTTTCTGGCTCAGTTTCTGGGGTCCCCTTGCCTAGGCTCCTCCATCATGGACCTTGGATCACACACGGGTCACAGCAGAGTAGGAGTAGGAGTGGAGACAGGAACAGAGCGGCCATTTGAGCCTCATCTTTGAACTTACCCCTTACTTTTGCAAAGCCCCTCTTAGATACTATTCCCCAAGCCCCCTCCCTTCCTTTTTTTCCTGCTGTAAAACTGCAGGAGGCAGGGGAACTCGGTTCATGGTAGAGCAGAGAAGAGGAGAGGAACTGAGCCATCAGGCCATCCTGATTCCTTGCCCGGTCGTATGTGATTTACTGTCACCCCCTGTTCTCTATGCCCACCTGCCACTGACTGTTTCTGACCCTCATTTGTGGCATCTCCTGGGCAGGGTGGGTCTTTTACTTGTCCAGTGACTCACCAAGCACGTTTCTAGACACTTGGCAGATCAGATCATGCAAAATACAAGTTGAAGGCCTTCATCCTTGTGAGGCTTCATGGCCTATCCATGCACCGAATGCATATCTGTGCCAGGGTGTACACAGAGTTTTGCTTGTATGCTGTCACCCCAGGAAGATGACTAGATCTGTTCCCACCCACCTTTTTGGAGGGTTTGAGGTCTGCTCTATCTGTTTGTTATTTATGGTGCAGTAGGGCCTGCGGGCACCAACTCACGCCAGGGTCCCATCGTGCTCGGTTCTGTACAAACAGAGCAAAGGGTGATTTCTGCACTGAAAAGCTCCCAGTCTCCATAGACGAGACAGAGAGGTGGTGGGAGGAGAAACGGAGGGACAGAGAGAGGATGCGGCTTAGCCAAGGTCACAGAGCAGGCCGGTGGCAGGATCTGTGGAGAGAAAGTGCTGAGTGCGCTTGTATATTTATACACAGCAGGTTAGAGTTGCTGGACGATCCATTTTGGAAGTTAGCGGCCAGGCAGGATGCTGTTGCCTTTCCAACAGTCAGTCTGAGGAGAGGAAGCCCACGAGCTGGGGAGGGAGGGCCGAGGGTGACTGGTAGGCTCCTGTCAGAAAGGATTGTTTTGTTTTTGTTCCTTTTTTTTTTTTTTCCTTTTAAATCACAGGGTTTAGCTCTTGTTGAAAAAAAAATGTTTCTGTTGCTCTGTGGCTTTCAACCGGGGCTCGTATCATTTGCAGAGTGCTGTGTCACAGGCTTCATCAGCTCCCCCACCCCCTGCACCAGAGCATTTGTACAGAACAAAGCCTCCCTTTTAAAAGCAGCAGGGTATTTTCCCACCTATTTTAACATACCGGTCATAATAATATCTACTTTTGCATGAGACCATTTCAAAACCAGCCTCGAGAAAAGGAAGCCGCATTTCTGCTAATGCGCAAAATGTCCCTTTCCCAGCCGAGAGGTAAGCAACCCACCCAACTGTGGTCCAGAGGGAAAGAAAGCTAACCCCCCTCTCTTTGCTCTCCTCTGCCCAGGCCCGACCTTCACAAGAGGACCCAAGGCAAACGCCGCCTTGCTGAAATCTTGCGCTCTGAATATTCAAGTGGGATGGACTCTAATGTATCCAAGGTCAAGAGGAAGAAAAGACACAGAAAACCTGGCAACCAGGAAACGCTGAGCTGAACTGGGAGTTTCCAATCCTCCGCTGCAAAAACTGGTTTCAGAGAACGCCAGGGACAGGGGACAGAGTGACATGTAAAGCAAGCTGACGAGCATTGGGATTTAGCAGAGAATTGTTCAAAGGCTTAAAGCCTTGGGGAGCTGAGCCTTACAGGATGAATGGGACTGAATTCAGACACGTCCTGTTCTCAGCAAAGAATGCTCCATTCCAATTAAATGCAGCTTCCCGGAGATGCACTAAGTTTCCAAGTTTTGCAGTTTTAACTCCGTGACAATTTGCTTTTGTTAGGAAAATGTCAGAGAGGTGAGATGCAGCGTAGAGGGCAACATACAACGCCCTGCCAATAAGTGCACTTCACCTGGGATGAGAAAGGAACTGAATTCACAGGAGTGATTGTTTTAAAAGCCTATAGGGACTAATGCCTCTTTTTTTAACCACAGAAAGTTAATTTAACTCAGTGAGTGTTCGCCCCAAGAGCCAGGTATAACCACTCGTCCTCTGCAGGGACCTGCTCATTTCACTCGGGCTCTCCAGAGAGGCAAATGGTGCTCAGTGTGAGCAGAGGTAGCAAAGTGTGACCCTTGTTTGCTTAGTCTGCATTTAACAAGCATGGGACCCTTTGTCAGCCCTGTACTGTCAGTGGTGCGGGGGCCATACCTTGATGGCGCTCAAGGTAATGGCAAAGCTCCCATTTACTTGGGAAAAGGATTTGTTCCTGTCTGTAACCAGACACAGCCCACATGATACAGTTGTGAGTCCTTGCTCAGGCACTCTTTATACGTAGGGTTTGGGCCTGAGTCATTGAGCATGGAGCTGTTCGGGGTTGCAAAAAGCATCTCCCATCTCAGCACACTGAAGGCTTTGCGGAGTATTTCTAACGCTTGCCAATAATCCATCATTTTGGAAAGGCGTTACTCCCTCTGAAAAGTGTAGTTAATCGCCCCTTACCACAGCTCTTTTTAAATATCCATTCCCCCTTTCAGAGCCTTTTCTGGGCTAGTTGATTTTTCTCTCTGTTTCTTCCCTGTTTATTGCCTTTGAAGCAGGAAGACATCAGTAGCTTGGGCTTTTTCCTTTCTTCATTCCCAGTCAGGTCCTGGTAGGGCTGGGAGTGCTGTGGTGTGCTCCAAGCCAGGCTGTATTTGGGCCTCATTCATCATTACCCTGAACTCAGGCTGGACCCCGCTTAGCCTCGGTGAAGTTGTACACAGCTTCCCTGCTTTTAATAAGGCTACATATGAAAGCCCACCCCACTATCAGCTCTGAGTACCGGGCTCACCTCAATCTCTCTTCTCCACTATAACCAGTAAGCATCAGACACACTTAAAAGGGGGAAAAAAAGCCCTGCCCAATGTACATGCAGCCCTCCCTCTCCAGAGAAGACCAGAGCAGGAACAAACTGCACGTGTGACGCATGCTGGTTACATCCCCGAGTGCCCAGGTGGATACGGTGGTAGTGGTACAAGCGCTTATGTAGAATAGAAGGCACAGCCTGGCAGAGGGGGCTGTAAGATGTCCCCATATCAAATTGCAGCGATATAAGTGATGGCACATGGCGTTAGGCAAGAATGAGTCAGGCCATACGGTGCAGAAAAAGAGCAGCCAATCCAAAAGATTTCTCAACTGGGTACAACTTTGGAGAACCAGAATGCATCTGCCTTTTTCCCTCCCAGGCAATTACTGAACTGCAACTTCCTGGCTTCATGTTTTTCGCAGCAGGAGAGGGTTTTTTTGGACACTTGAAAAAGACGAATTTAAAAGAGCCTCAGCTATAAAACAAACCAAGTGATGGACAGAGAGTACAAGGGACTGATGAGGCTAAAATTAAATAAAAAGTGTTATTATTATTATTATTTGGAAGGGCAATACGGTTTAAGGCAAATGTCAACTTAAAAAAAAACCCCGAGGATGAAAATGACTCAGAATGTGATGCCGAGAGGATAAGCTTGGGAAGAATTGATCTTGTGCAGGAGGTAAAAAAAAAAAAAAAAAAAGTATGACCTTCTCCAAGCTGACTGTCACATAAGAATTAATGGGAACTATTGGTGAATTTATAATAATTGGAAGAAAAAGCCGACAGCACGTCAGTTAGACTTTAGGAAATCTTTTCGCCCTCTGTATTATTGGGGCGTGTAATTCTACAAATGGTTTTGATGAAATAATGAGTGATTACTCTTTTTTTACCTACAGGCCTTTCTCTTTAAGGCTCACCATCTTTTACCTGATAGCTCTGGATTAATAGTGAGTGATTACAGAAGGGAGGAAGGGGGAGATTATCGGAAAATGTTGAAGGCAATATGTGTATACCTACAGAGAGGCCAGGCCAAGTTTGCCAGAGATGAACTTCTGCAGATGTGCAACTTCTGGCTGGCCATTCACAGGGAGAACTAAATTCTGCCCTCCGTTAGATTTATGCGACCCTGTGGATTACACTGTCTGGCCACTGTCTGTCTCCTGATCTGCTTTACTACTTTCCCACCCAGCTGGTTTAGGAAGAAGGACTTCACAGTTTTAAGGTTAATTTTAGCTAAAACGTAAACCACCTTTTCAATAAATCGGTATCAGATTGTCACCCTTGGCATAGAAATTCTAGATTAGTTGAACAAAAGCCTCAGTATAATTCAGCTGCACATGCATTGACTTGGGCCCGGTTTTTAAATTAAGACTAGCAGAAGGGGCTTTATTTTATCGTCGACTCTTAATTTGATTTCTGAGCGGCGTTCGATTTAAAACCTGATGACAGGATAAAGTTTCAGCTTTTTAACTTCCTGCTAGTCCTGCCTTTTCTGCACATCCAGAGCTGCATTTGTGTGCGCTTCTGAGAGCCCTCTTCTTGTCTGACTGCTGGAGTCGGGAATGCTCGCTCTCAGGAAAAGCTCCTGCTCTGTTTCATCCGTGCTCTTGGGTTTGTGTTTACTAAGATGATCGGCTCCTGGAGACAGGGACCGCAGCTCTGTGTGTCAGTCTTGTGTGCTGCACCGAATAATACCAATAATAAGGGCCAAACCCTACCTGCCTTTTAAAGCTCGAAAGGGTCCTGCCAGAGCAGAGGAAGAATGATGGGGGAGAAGAAATGCCACCAGGCAGATAAAGGCTTGAGGGGCTAGGGGTGAGACCTCAGCATGTACCTATGCTGATCTGTCAGACCTTGATCTCTCCAGAGGCTTCATATGCCAGGTACCCAGTTGTACACACGTACTGATTTCTGTAGGGCAGAATTGGGTCCCAGACTCAGGTTCCTGCGTCCTTCAGGTTAGACCCATTTTAACCTGTCACGTTCTTGCTATCCAAGGAGAAAGCCAGAATGAAAGAACCCAGCCATTAATGCACTATCCCAGAACGGCTCCGCTCACCTGACATTAATGCACTATCCCAGAACGGCTCCGCTCAGCCCCATATGTTTTGGAGGGGAAGCCCAAGTCCTGTCCCTAATCTGCCATGTTGTTATAGGACTGGGACCTACCTGCACAGTGAGAGCCCCCGTCCTCCCCCAAATGCAGCTTTCCCTTCCAGGCATTTGGGGAATGGTTCTGGTCCTTGACGCTGGTAGAGGGGGCGATGGGAGGTATGTACGGACCCCAGTTGGGAACTCCTCCCAGAAGAGCGCGTTCAGGTCCAAGCACAAGGCGCACCTTAACCTCCCCAGGCGCGTTGCCCATCATTAAGGACAAAGCAGCAAAACTCCCCTGTCGGTATAAATTCCCGTTCCTCTGCAACCCTGGGGAGAAGAGAGAAACACACCGTTTGTTCTGGACTCTTTATGTTTCAGCATAATTTTGTTCAGTGCTTACATGATAACGTGATAGGTGTCTTAAAATATCTTGGACAGAAGCCAGCTGGAGAGCAGTGACTGCTGATTCATGAGTCGATGTGGGGGTGAGACTCCTTCAGCCATATTACTGCCTGTGACCGCTCAGTCTCTGCATTGGTATCGCTGTTCGGTCCCCAATTGTTGCAGCTTCCTTTTGGCATACTCAGTGCTGTCTAAGCATCAGTCCCTTTCCCAGCATCGAGAAAGGGGCAGACAGGACAGCAACATACCTGCGTATACGTTCATATTGATGCAATAGAAACAGGAGGCCAGGTGCCAAATGGAAATTTGACAGCCTTTGGTGGAGTTCTCACCTTTATTATGCTGTGAATGAAAGCAGGGGCT